AGACGTAGAGAAGTGACGTATGGACAGGAGGTAGGGGCGAGTGGGATGAACTGGGAGATTGGGATTGACATGCATACACTACCGTGTGTGAAAGAGATAGCTAGTGGGAACCTGCTGTGTAGTGCAGGGAGCTCAGCTCGGTGCTCTGTGATGACCTAGATGGGTGGGATGGGGTGGGGGGAGGGAGGTCCAAGGGGGAGGGGATATATATATATATACATACGTATAGCTGATTCACTTCGTTTTACAGCAGAAACTAACACAACATTGTAAAGCAATTATATCCCGATTAAAAAAAAAAAAGGTGAATAACAGCACCAGCCCAGGGACGTGAAAAATAAATGAGACAGTGCAAGTGAATGAGGTATAGTGAAGGCATTATGGCCCAGGCACACGTTAAGGTTTGGAACAAACTCCCACAGGGACGCTCTATCAGAATCAATCAACCTGAAGTGTGCTGTCCAGTATAGTAGTCACAGCCACATGTGATCTTTAAACATTTGAAACAAGGCTAGACTGAATTGAGATGTGTTTTAAGTGTAAAACACACACTGGATTCTTTTGAAGACTTAGTATGATAAAACGGAATACCTCATTCATAAATTTTTGTAGGTATCACGTGTTGAAATTACAATGTTTGTCATATGTTTGGTTAAATACAATACCTTTAAAATTAATTTCATCTGTTTCTTTTTACTTTTTAAATGTTGCTACTAGAAAATTTTAATCACATATGTGGATCACCATATGTTTCTACTGGACAGCTTTGGGCTTGACACTGAGGAAGCAAGGTTCTCTTTGTCACTGAAGAAGTGAAAACTTAGCTCTGGACTGTAAAACCTCCTCCCTGGAGCCAGGTTTCTCTTAGAGATTCTCCTGTCCCCTACTCCCATCCTCATCCTCCACTTAAATTCAGCTGAAGCACGTGGTGTGTGGGTGACCTTTCAAGATGAAAATCTGTTTTCATCCTGGTCCTATGGCTTAAAATCCTTGGAAGGTTCTTCTTGGCCTTTCAGGATAAAGGCCATACTCCTTAGCAAAGCAGTGTAACCTGACTTTGGCTCACTTCTTTCCTTCAGCTTTATCTCTTACCCCTTCTTGCTCCAGTTTTTGTGTGTGTTGTGTTTCTGATACCTTGGTGTCTTTGGATTGCCTCTTCCTTTTCCTGGGAATGGCCTCTGCTACCTGTGCACACACTCCCAAGCCTCGTGCACTAGCTACACCACCGTTCTTTACCCAGTGGATTGTCCTCCAAGACCTGGCTTAACTGTCACTCCTCCTGGATGCCTCCCCTGAACCTTCACCCTCTAAGTAGAAGTATTCCTCTCTATGCCCCATAACACCCTGCGTCTGCCTGTGGGGGGGTGCACTTACACTTCTGATTTCCTGCTGGCTTGCTTGCCTATTTCCCTCATTTGACAGAGTTCCTTAAAGACAAGAACAATGCTCTTCATCCTGAATCCCAGGACCAAGCCTAAGCCTGGAACACAGTAGACTCTCAACAGCTACTTGCTAACTGAATTGAAAGCAGGTCAGAGAACTGTCCAGGGATCATCTGCTCCCAGGTGGTGTACCAATTAGAGCTCTTGCGGATGCAAGTGACAGAAATCTCCACTCCGACTGTCTTTGTTGTCTTACATGATTGAAAAGTCTATGTGTTGTTCTAGCTTCAGGAATTGCTGGATTCAGCTGTCCAATCAATGTCACCAAGACACTGTTTTGTTTTTTTGTTTTTGCGGTACGCGGGCCTCTCACTGCCCGGCCTCTCCCGTTGTGGAGCCCAGGCTCCGGACGCGCAGGCTCAGCGGCCATGGCTTACGGGCCCAGCCGCTCCGCGGCATGTGGGATCCCCCCGGACCGGGGCACGAACCCCGCGTCCCCTGCATTGGCCGGCAGACTCTCAACCACTGCGCCACCAGGGAAGCCCAAGACGTTGTTTTTAATTTCTCTACCTTTCTACTGTGCTGGCTCCATGTGAAGAGATTCTGTCCTCATGGCAGAGATAGCTGATAAGCCTATCTTCCAGTTTCCAGTTGAGAAAATGTCAGCTACCCCGATAGTTCAAACAGAGGGTAGAATTTACTCCTATTGCCCCTAATTGGCCAGTCTGGGGTCATGTGCCTAACTCTGAACTAATAACTGTTGACCTGCAGATAGGATGCATTGATTGGCTCAGGGTTGATGGTATGCTAAAGCATGGAACTGAGATTGTGGTGGAGTTGGCTTCACCCCAAGCAAGGGGCTGAAAGTGAAAGTTACTTAAGGCAACAGCAGGGTACTATTCGTACTGTGAAAGGAATAAAGAGTCCACTGCTATGAAACAAGAGCCCCGAGGCAAGTTGGTTCCAGCACTCCTTCTTTTACCAAAGTAGACATTTTAGGGACCATGGGTCTCAAGAGAAATTCATGTTCTTACACCTGTGTTGATTTTGTTTTTTCCTTGCTTTGGTAATTTCCAGGGACTCTGTAAAATGGGGTTCATTCTTGTTAGAGTTATAGGTATTATAACCTATGTAAATCAATTGGAGAACTGTAAGTTGACTGGAAAGACAGGTTAGAGATAGTTGAGAGATACAAAATCCTACTGCTGCTTGATAAGGCCCTGGTATCTTTCCTGGCTTGAAAACTTACTCAGGAAAAGTGAGACAATTACTAAACCCCAAATCTCTTTCTGGTGAAATGGGGCACACTGAATAGAGACATTTGGTGTCCCTTGGAAGAACAAGTCTTTAGTATCAGGGACTGTCAGTTTGAGGGCACCTCACAGTAGCTCCTTCTGTACAAATTCATTCATGCGAAACTTCTGAGTGCCTACTGTTCCCACTGGGACTCTGTTAGGTGTAGGAGAGAGAGGGGTAAACAAAAAAGACTTTAGGGAACTTACATTACAGTGGGGGAGAGAGCCCATAACCACACGTAAATAAGATACCTTCAGACCGGAATAAATGCTGAGAATAGGTTTGAGTAATATGAATGAGAGGGAGTAGGTGAGAGTGAATTATTTTAGATAGATGTTTTCTCTGACGAGGGACATTAGAGCTGGTGCCTGGATGATGAGAATGTGCCAATCATGTAGATAACTACTTAGGACTTCCCAGGAAGACAGAGGATTTAGCTGTCTGGGGAATGTAGAGTAGACCCTTGCCCCTCAAAGCAGGATCCCAGACCAGCAGCATCAGAATCACCTGGGAGTCTGTTAGCAATGCAGAATCCCAGATCCCACCCCAGACCTACTGAGTCAGAATCCACATTTAACAAAACGTCCCAGGTGATTTGTAGGCATGGTAAACTTTGAAAAATGCTGGACTCTCGACCTTTTCTGCAGCTCACTGGGAAGGTATAAATCCTGCTGAGGCTGGGAGCAGGGAATGTTGTTGTCAGCAGTCACTTGAAAGACAACATGTATCTTGTCTGCTGCTGCTTTGCTCCAGAAGAAGACCATAGGGTTTTCACGTGTTAGGGTCCAAGAGATTTTCTAGGTTAGTCCTCTTGCTTTGCAGGAGACTGAAGTTCTTTGAGAAGGGGTGACCTGCTCAGGGTGGGCTTCTTTGGGACAGAGTCAGGACTAAGATCTAGGAGTCTCTTCTCTCTGGGCCACCTTTCAAATATTGACAGGACAGATTAGAGTGAGTATGGAGGAGAGAATAATAAGGTGATTGGGAAATAATTTCACATGAAGCACTGGAAATGTTTGGCCTTGGTTTTCCATTCTGTGAGGCTGAAATAAGAAAACATATGTGAGAATCAGGTTCACTTACAGGGAAGCAAGTTTCTTCTCAAGGCTAGGAGCACTTCTAAGATTTAGAGCCAAACAACAATGAAAGTGCCTGATGCAGGCAGTAAGTATTCACAGTAGCCCCTCTCAGGTAGTCAGTCACTGGTAGGGAGCTTGGCTGGATCAGGTTTCCCAAAAGATAGTCCTTTGCATCTTGACATTTTGGGGGGCCATATCCTATATAAGTATTTTAAATTAATATAAAATACATGTGTAACCTGTGTAAAGTGCACTAATCTTAATTGTACACTGGATGAATTTTCACATAAGTCTATACCTTTGTTATTTACCATACAGATCAAAATACAGAACTTGCCCAGCACCTGCACTTCTCCTTCCCAGCCAATAATGCTTCTCCCTCTAGGTAACCACTGTTCTTACTTCGATTACTATCAATTTGCACGTTTTGGAACTTATGTGAAGTATAAGTACATATATACTTTATATATAACGTAAATTTTTTACTTAATTTTTTTTAAGTAGATTCATTTTTTACAGCTTATCTAAGAAATAACATCAATGAAATAGTCTTTTGATGTGAAAGGCATTTTCCTCCAATACACATTAAAATAAACACACAATTATCAAAATGAGTTTATTCGTGTATTAACAGACCACATTTTGCTTTTCAAAAGCCACCAGGTGATTCCTGAGGTCCATGCAACTTGCAGATTGTCTGATTTTGCGCTGATCGAGAAGCTGAAAGTTTATGGAACGCCCTGTCACAATCCTGATGCCACCATAGATCCATCCATCCATCCATCCATCCATCCATCCAACTACAACACTTGTTGAATACCTAGCAACGACTCTCTCAGGCACTGGACACAGAAAAGACTCCACTTTCTGATTTCAAGTGGAGGGAAACAGAAGAGTAAATCATTTCAGTATGTGTCACGGTAAGTGCTACAGCTCAGGTAAGCACCGTTACACAGAGGAAGGGAGTCTTCCGGAGTCAGGGAGCAGAGGAGAGGGTGGGTGAGCATTTCAGTCGGCACCTCTACCAGCCACCCGACTTTGATCACTTTGCCGCAGCGATGCAGCTGCGGTCAACCTCAGCCTTCCTTAGCAACCCGAGGGGACCGCCCAGGTGTCTTCCTATTGGTCTCACGGAGCTTGATGGGCAGCTCTGCTGTGCAACCCCGGCTCGCGGCCCCCGGCTCCGCGCTTACTCACAGGAGAGCTCGTAGGCGTTACGGCCCTCCCCGGGTGCCCCGCCCATCCCCGAGTAGCTTGTGGCGCATGCGCGGGCTCGTTGAGGCTGTAGGGACAGCAGGGAGCCGGAGCCGCCGAGGTGAACCTCCTAGGCTCCGCCGACGTCGCCGCGCCCTCTCCTCGCCTCTGCCGCCGCACTTTCAAGCCGTTGCCACCACCACCGCCTCTGCCGCCGGAGGAGCGGCCGCCTATTGTCTTTCTCCGCGGCGAAGGTGCGGAGCTGCTCCGGCTCGGCCCGCGGGGGAGCCCCGGGCGCCTCACGGTGAGAGCGCAACTTAGTTGGCGGAGTTGGGGGAAGTTTTGTGATTTGAGGAGGGGTCGCGGGAGGGGAGCGCGGGGCCCTCACCCTGCGGGCGGTCCTCCGGCGGGGGCCGGAGCGGGGGTCCGGGGCTGCGGGGGCTGGGCGGGGGCGCGCGGGCGGGGATGAATGGGCGGCGCGGGAGCGCCCCCCGGCTCTGCGGCTCCCGCCTCCCTCCGCGGCCCCCTTCACGCATTGTCTGCCCCGGGGCCGCGGCGCGCCTTGCCGCTCCCGCAGCCCAACTTCGGGGCCGCCTCCACTCCCGGAGTGGGGGGCACGGCCGCCATGCCCCTTCAGGTGCCTGGACCCCCGGCCTTCCCGGTCGGCTCCTATGGGGGCGGGGGCCGTGGTAGCAGCTGCGGCTGCTCCACGGGTCCCTCCCGTCCGGGAGTCGGCGAACAAGTGCTGCGGCCGCGAGGGAGCGGCTCTCGGGGGCCGGCGCGAGCGGTAAACACGCCGGGCCTTACCCGCCTTAGGGGGGCGCTCTCGGCGCCTGTTCCCGGGGGCGCGGCCGGGGCACCCGCGCGGGTCGGAGACGTGCAGCCCGAGGGGACCCACTTTGGAACCGTGCCATGGGCTCAGCTCTGTTGAGTTCAGATGCAAACATACTTTGAGACCAAACCAAACTTTTTTTTGGATAAATATGGCTATTGAACCCCTCTCCCTTTCCCCCTTTTTCCCCCCCGAAGTCAACTCATATGTTAAGATTTTAAAATAAATGTGGGGGAAATCCTCAAGAGTTTTTCTATCAGAAAAAAGGATTGGCTTTTTTTTTTTGAACTAGTTCTTACAGCAAAATGATTCCGTCACATTTAAGTTTCTAGATCTTACTGTGAACTCAGGAGTTAACAATGTAAGTTGGATTGAGCAATATTTTGGTGTTCGTCTTAACTTTTACACTCCTCAGTGAAGTTATTTTGAGAGTTTGTTGCCCCAGGCATATAGAACCAAAGGAAAAAGCAGTGTGCCTTTTTTACTTATTCAACAGCCCCCCCCCAGTTTTATTTTCATAAGTAACTTTATTTTTTTAAACCGTTGGATTGCCCAGATCAGGATAAATGCTGGCAGTTTTGGAAAGATCATTTTTTGCAAGTTTGTAAAGGATAAGCTGTTGTGAGTGATCAGAGTTGTGATCAGCTGAGATAAATCATTGTTACAGTCCTGTAGGCTTTCGTGGTCTCTAGGGGATTTGCAGACTGCAAGAAGTACAAGCCTTGTTGTCAGGCTTTGGGTGCATTGGTTCTGCTGAATTCAGTTCATTTGCCTTATGATGTGAGAATGATTCTGTTTAAATCCCCTCGGTGGAACAAGCCTAAATGTCTGTCAGATTGCGTGGTGGAACAAAATGACCAGAATGTGTTCCTATCAGTTGTATATCCCTTTGCCATCTGGTAAATTAACAAGGAAAATTTGAGAAATATGGTGTGGGTCAATATGCATTGATTGGTTTCTCATGCTAAGTGAGTAATGTGAAGTGTTGCCCAGGTTTTCCTGGTTAGGTTGGCCTAATTTTGCTTTGAAAAAGCAACTTACTTCACCTGACAAAGCTAAAGAAAAATGTCCTAATGGCATAAGCTTGTATTTTTAAAGTACAACAACAAGGTCACTTTTAGGAATCATAATCCTTGCTCTTAGGGCTTTCCTTCCTGGTTGTGTGGTTGTGTGTACTGTGTGTACCTGTGTGTGGGGCGGTTGTGGGGAGGGACGGTGACAGAGGTTGGAAGGCGTTGTCAGGGAGAGACAAAATGTAAACAAATACTACTTAGAACATGTGACAAGTAGGCCAGTTGCTTTCCCTCTCTGATAGCATGTTATACATACTTTTGTTTTAGGATTTCTCACACTTCATTTTTTTTGCCTGACTAATAGTAACTGCATATGTAGTATAAATGGACTCCTCTTCTAGCCTGTTAACTCCCTGAGGGCTGTGATGGGTCTTAGCTTTGTGCCTCTGTGCCAGGAAGGAGTCTTAACACAGCTCAGGTGCTCAGGATGCATTTGAATTGGGTGAAGTGCTTGGTACTTCACCCTAGTGTGGTACCCAGAGAACCACTAACTCTGGGGACTTGTTAAACATGGCAGCTCACTTGCAGATCTGTGATGAAATTTAGTGTACTTTATAAGGATTTCTAACCTTTCTTTTTAACCTGTTAATTACTTCTTGAAAAGAATTGAGGTTTAAATAGTGCGCTATGGATTTCAGAAAGTGGTTCTAATCGAGAAAATTTCTCCCTTTTTTGGTGAAATGATTAAGACTGCTGGACTAATCCATTCACTCCTCTGCCTGTTCATATCTCTGTTGTGAAATGGGGAGGTAGCACAGTTTAGAAGAATGTACATTTTTTGGAATTAGGTAAATTTGAGTTCAAATCCCCACCCTTCCATTGACTAGTTGGGTAGCCTTGAGCAGGTCACTTATCCCCTCAGAGCTTCAGTTTCCTACTGTGTAAGGTATAGTAACATACTTTACAGCATTCTTAGCAATAAATGAAACTATGTGACGTACTTCATAGTGTGCCAAACATTAAGTAGGTGCCTGTTACCTGGTAGCTGTAATGACAATAATTTGGATAATTTTTGTATGAGTTAAAGCATTTTTAGAAGTCTGATGCTTCTGAGAACAGTGGTTTAGCTGTCTGTTTCGTAAGGGGGGAATGCTTCTGAGAATTGAGAGTCTTAAATGCAGTTTTTTAAAGGTGTGGGTTGAACTGAATGTTAATAGAAAACAGTTTTATCTTCTCAGTCAGCTCTTAGTCTTTGAGTGGGCTTTGCAGAGTGTCTCTGTAGGATAGAACTCTATGCATTTATAGTGTTTAGGAAATCGTTAGAGATGGGTTGTTTTCAACATTTGTAATAGAATATCTGAGTTATTTAATTCCAGCTTTTCTTCCTTATTTTACCTTAATTTTGAAAAATAACAGGCATTGATTATGACTACGTTTCTCAAACTTGATTAAGATGGGACTGGACTGTGGGTTAATATAGCAGTAGTACAATTCAGAGACTTGAGCAAATCATTTACTTCCCCTTCAAGATAACACTTTTGAAGGTGTCACCATTTGTGGAAGGAAACAGTGATTTAAATCAGTTATACGAGCTTTGTTTAGAATATTCAGAATACCAAGTGGAATAAATACATTCTAGAAATATTAACCTGTCATGGACATTTCTGTATATTGAATCTAATCTTTCCATTTATTTTCTTATAAAATAAGGGCAAAAAGTTAACCATGAAGGATTGTAGTAAACCTTTAAAAATTATATTTGACCAGACTCACATATTGAGGAAAAAAAGAAAGTTGACAAAGCTAGATGAACACACTTGGACTTTTGATAATCCCCTCTTTTAAAGTTAACATTGAAGTGTGCTTGAATAAACTTGGTTATTACTGATGGGGACAGGCATCCATTCGGAAGCAGTGCTCCCGAGTCACTGTCGGGCTGTCTTACCTCACTGTAAGTGGGGGGGAGAGGAGGAAGCTGTTCGTGGAAGGAAGTTTGTTTCATTCATATGTCTTCACATTTATGGTCTTGTGGTCCACCTCTCAGTTGACTGGGACATATAAGTAGAAGATGGGTAGATAACCCATTTTTGTCAGTCCTTGCTCAGAGAATGGACCAGTAGACCTGATACTGAGATACTGTGATTGTTACGAATGCTTGTATGGGACAATGGTGTGTTTTCCTTTTTTACCTCTTCAGAGCTGTGTTCAGAGCGTGGGGAAGGTGTGGATATCAGTGTGTGTGATGTGGGTATTGGGATGGGGAGAAGGAGATGGTGTGAGGGATTTACAATTTATGTCACTCTGTAGGCTCTTCTATTAGAAATCAGTCCTTTTGATATTTATTTATTATTTATTTTGGCTGTGCCGGGTCTTAGTTGCGGCATGAGGACTCTAGTTGCAGCATGCGGACTCTAGTTGTGGCATGTACGTGGGATCTAGTTCCCCGACCAGGGATCGAACCTGGGCCCCCTGCATTGGGAGTGCAGAGTCTTACCCCCTGGACCAACAGGGAAGTCCCAGAAATCAGTCCTTTTGAATTTTCACTTATGATCCTGTCTTAAGCCCATATTTGGCCACAAAAATAGTCTTTACCACTTCAAAAGGCTAGTTATTCCTGAATGGTTAGGAATTAAGTATGTCACACTGTAATGAATTAGTCTTTTAGACAGCCAAAGATGTCAAGCAAGAGAGCAGCACCTAGGAGTTATGTAGAATTTCACAAACCCAAGATAACTCTCCGATGGTGATGTCTACTGAAGGCATATGATACGGGGCCACATGGCTGACTTCACATCCGAACTTCGCCAATTATTGGCAGTGTGTCCTTGAGCAGGCCACTTCATCTGTCTCAGACTTAGTATCCTTACTTACAAAATAAGAACAAATTTGATATTGTCATCCTACCTACTACCACTACTGTCATGAGAAACGCTCGAGACAAAGCACTATGCAGATGCTTTGTCATTTTGTAGTTTTGCTGGTTGGCTACTGGTTTGGATAAAATTCAAATCCTAGTCTATAAAAGGAGAAAACATCCAACTAAGTTTATTGGTTTTTCTTTATAAATATTGTACCATTTCTATTGCCATTCTCCTTACTTGTGAAAATGGATACTTCTTACTTTTGGCTCTTCTCAGATTTCCTTTTATAACATATTTGTCATGGAGTATTTTTCTAAACTCAGTGCTTGCTGTGAGACCCAAGTTACTCTGAAATCACAGGAACTGACATTGGATGCCAGTGCTTGAAGTCAGGTGAAACCACAGTAAACAGTGAACAAAGAATGTCAGAATGTTTCAGAAGAGTACAAAAGAAGCTAGTGTAGTTGTCTGATCTTTACTGACTCATTTTCTTAAATTATTTTTTAAAAGCTTAAAAAATCAGGGAGTGTGCCTCTTATGTGCCAGATGTTTTACTATGTGTCTTACATACATTTATTTCATTTTTGAAACCAACCTA